TGCCATGGTGCTGTGGGAGGGTGCTGGAAGTGAAGGAAGAGTGGACTAGGGTGACCTGGAGGGAACAGTCCCTGCAGAAGGCAGACAAGGGAGGGTGGGAAATACGATCTGGTGGTGGAATCTCACTGGAGGTGGCGGAAATGGAGGTTAATGATCCTCTGGATGTGGATGCTGGTGGGATGATAGGTGAGGATAAGGGGATCCTTATCACTGTTGTGGGTGGGAAGAGGAGGGGTGAGGGCTTAAGTGCAGGAGATCGGTCAGACCTGATTGAAGGTCCTGTCAACTACAATGCTGGGGAATCCTTAAAAGAGGAAGAAGGTGGACATTTCAGAGACTCCTTTGTTGAAGTTGGTATCATTGGATCAGATGCAACGGAGATGGAGGAACTGGGAGAATGGAATTGGTTCTTTGCAGGAAACAGGGTGAGAATGTATAGTCAAGGTAACTGTGGAGTCGTTGGTTTATAGTGGATATTGGTGGCCAGTCTATCCCCAAAAATGGAAACAGACATGTGAAGGAAAGGAAGGGAGGAGTCAGAGGTGAACCAGGTGAAAGTGCAGGAGGGGTGGAAATTGGAAGCAAAATTGATTAACATTTCCAATTCTGGACGAGAGAAAGAAGCAGCACCGATGATATCATCGATTGTGGGTGGGAGCCACAGTAGGATTGGAACAAGCAATATTCCATGTGCACCACAAAGTGACAGGCATAACTGGGGCCCATATGGGTATCCATGCCCACCCCTCTGACCTGAAGAAAAGGTAAGGATGGTAGATCTTTTTTTCTAAAGAGAATTAATGGACTGGATGGAGTTGGGGTGGTATGGTAGCACAGTGGTTAGCTCTGCTGCCTCACAGTGAACCTGGGACTTGGGTTCAATTCCAGCCTTGGGCAAGTGATTATGTGGAGTTAGCATGTTCTCCCTGTGTCTGCATGGTTTGCTCCAGTTTCCTCCCACAGTCCAAAGACGTGCAGGTTATGCGGATTAACCGTGCTAAAAACATTACTGTAGTGTGTGGGTTAGCCATAGTAAAAACTCCATGTAGGGACAGGGATGGGTGAGATGTTCTTCCAAGGGTCAGTGCAGACTTGATGGGCTAAATGGCCACTTTCATCACCGTAGGGATTCTATGATTATGGATCCCCACCAAGGGAAAAAAGTTTCTTCCTATCTATAACACTCATAATTGTGTACGTCTCAAGCAGTTCTCCCCAAGCTTCTCTGATCTGAGGAAGCCAACTCCAGCCTATCCAGTCAAGGGAACTTTTTGTGTATCTCCCCTGCACCCTCTCTAGCCTAATCACATCCTTCTTACAATATGGTAGATAGAGCTGTACACAGTACTCCAATTGTCTTATACAGCTGTACCATAAGCCCCAGCTTGTGTATTAAGTGCCTCAACTGATAAAGGCAAGGATCCCATAACCACATTATTCACCTGTCCTGCTGCCTTCGAGGATCTATGTACATGCACAAATATTCGAAGCATATATTTGAAACTTATTCAGTGCCATATAGAACAGAGCCATGAGTCAGAGTTACCTTATATTAGGATATGGCTGAATTCCTGACCAAGAGTCTGGAGGCTGTTTAACAAAAACAAGTTAAGCGTCTTGTGGCTAAGGCTTAAATACAGAAATACCCTCAATTGTTAAACCAGATCTGTGGAGACAAGTTTAGTGCAACCTGAAATTTCTTTTGCCTACAGGAGCAAGAAAATGTTCTTTTACTCAATCAATAAATATAAACATTGATATCATTGCATTCTTTAATCCTGTGCCATTGTTTCAGTAACCTCATTTGATTTCTGGATATTGTTCACAGCTTTCTTGACTTGAAATGATGGAATTAAACGTTAGTCATGATGTGATTCAACAATTTATGGGGGCATCAATACAGTTGGTAGAATGTAACCTTGTAGCCACTGCTGTAAAACAAAGTAAAAATGTGTGTTATGTATCCTTGAAACAAATCTAAGTGACTTTTATAAGTTCAAGGAAATTCAGTCCACCACAATTCACTATTTCATCATTAGGACTCACAATTTAATGTCAATTTCAAAGACTCTGCCATATCCATATGCACTCAGTCCATACTGGCTTCTGTGATCACTAATATCCAGGCCAGACAACTCACAGACATATATTCCATGAAATCAAAACATTAAGAGTTCCTACGTCGTTTGTCAAAAAACTGAACACTAACTAATGGCACAAATTGGAAGAACTTTTTTCTATGTTCCCTGCTACGTGTTCAGATGCCTAACCAGTGAACTTTAAATGGAACTGGTGGCCACTACTCAAAAGACAGGCCCTGGAGATATTTTCACAGGCCCAGGATATACAGATGTATTCCTTCTGGGCCTTCATAAAGATCCAAGCCTTCAGCCTGTATATAAAAGGTTTGCTGTTCCCACCTCCTGAACTGACCTCCTACAGTTTGCATAGCACATGAACAAGGTCCTGACCTGTCCAATTGTGAAGAACAGTGAATCTGAGGATAGCCATTTGTTCATGGCACTAACATGAAGCCCAATGCCAATGGAGTCATTACTTCACCTGTGTTGTATCAGTCTCGTCGTCATGAAACAAGATGGATTTCTGTATATAATTTAACTGATCCACTGCCATCATTGAGAGAAGAAACCTGTACAACATCTTGTTTATTAAGTGTCCTACTCCAACACCAACACTGTTGATCCTCAACTGTCTTTTGAAATAGTCAAGCAAGCTATTCATTTGCGTCATACTATTGCAAACATGGATTTCAACGGTCTGTACCACTTTCTCAGGATAACTAGGGAAATGTAACAAAAGTCATGTTTCCAGGGATACCACATCCCAAATGTGAAGAAAAAAAAACCTGCGTTACTTAGTCAATAATTTGCTTCATTTTACCAGCATTGTATTGTGATGTTTAAGCTTCCTAGGTGACATTGTACAGTATCAATTGATATTGCAGGGTTTCACAAAAGAATTGTACTCTTCATTTCCACTTTCAGTTAAGTTTTACCTGATAAAGCAACATTCAAAAATCAGAGTAAATAATACTACACAGCAAAATGAACACAACAATTGAAATAAAAAGTAATAAATGAAACAATGTTTAAGTAAAAAGAAAGTCTAGTTGTTGATGAAATGTAGAGACAAGATAAGTTAAAAAAAAGGACTGCAAGAATAATTACATCAGGCTATAATTGGTTCATTGTCAACAAACTAAATTAAATGAAATGATTACATATAATTTTTTTAGAATTTGTTAATAATTTTCACAAGAAGACAGAAGTGTGCTTGGAGGATTTGAGCAGTTGAAGACTCCACACACTTAAATTGATTTTTTGAAGTTATGATTTTGCTGTTTTGCATTTTCAGATGACATAGTAATTGAAGTATTCAATTGTTCACTTGTTCAGTGTTTGATTACGTGTGTCTGTCTACATTTTGTTCAATGTGTTGTTACAGAGAGAAAGAATGAGTAAAGACCATAAGATACAGGAACAGAAGTATACCATTTGCCAATCGAGTCTGCTCCATCATTTAATGAGATCAATCTTATTTAGACAGAGGGTGGTGTGCATATGGAATGAGCTTCCAGAGAAAGTGGGGGAGGCAGGTACAATTATAACATTTAAAAGGGGTCTAGATGGGTTTATGATTAGGAAGGGTTTAGAGGGATTCGGGCCAAATGCTGGGAAATGGGACTAGGTTAGAATGGGATGTCTGGTTGGCACGGACGTGTTGGACCAAAGGGTCTATTTTCCGTGCTGTATGAATCTATGTCTGATCTAATAATCCTCAACTTCAATTTCTTACCATTTCTCCACATCTGTTACTGAACAAAAATCAGCTTTGAATCTTCTTAATGATTCAGTCAGAACAGCCCCGTGCAGTACTCTCTGAGAGAAAAGAATCCTCCACAGCTCAGTTTTAAATGAGTGACCCCATACTCTGAGATCATGCCCTCTAGTCCTAGACTCTCCCACAAGGAGAAATAACTTCTCAGCATTGACCCTGTCAAGCCCGCTAAGAAACTTGTATGGTTCAATTGGGTTTGCCTCTCATTCTTCTAAATGCCAATGTGTTTAAACCAAAGCATGAAGCTGCAAATAGGAGAGCAACATTTTAATGCATTAAATAAAATCGCAGTAGAGTTAGAGGAGCTGATATTCGTTACAACCAGGAGGTGCCTTCAAGAGAGGGAGCGTGAAGACAACTCATAAGAGACAGAGTGAGGCAATGACTAAGAGGGAATGAGACAGTGACTGAGAGGGAGTGAAATGGCAATTAGCTCGGAAATAGTGATCAGGAGAGGGTATGAGGCAATGGTGGAAAGGGCCTGAGGCAGTGACTTGGAGAAGTGCTGAGGCAGTGACCACGAGACGTAGTGAGATGGTGATTGAGAAACAGGACTGGGGAACAGGAGAGCAGCAACGAGGGTAGAAAGGGTGTGGACTGGAGTAGAGGATGAATGTTGGCAGTCAACAGCCTTTGATTTTAATATGGAAACAGGATGTCAACTCTTATATTTCACAGTTTTACACTCAGGTAAAATTTTTCAGAAAAATTTTACCTGGAGCAGTCCCTGTAAGCTCTGAAGCTGACAGTGTTCAGGATAGCCAATTTTACAATGGGGCCTTAAACATGTGTAAGGGTTCTAACTAAATTTGCAGAAAGCCTGTTTCATGAAACCCGGATGCCTCTAATTTTGACTTTTCAAATGAGAGGGCAATGCTCTTGGGGCATGAAATGAGTTCCACACTCCATATTGGATGCTTAGAACATGCCTTATTCCTGAATAACCAAGGGAGCCCCTTTGGAATTTTGACCCCTGACATGGCAATGAACCACAAATTGTACTGAGAGGACTGGGGATTGCAGTGTTGGAATAAATCACTACTAGATGCAAAGTTCACTATCACGCAACACTACAATTTAAAGGATATTTGTCAAATTCTTACATTTGCAATCACTTTACATTGCTATGGCCAAGGTCTTACCTTAATAAAAATTCTTATAAGACCTGTAGCTTTTTGTGACAGATAATACCAGAATGACAGTGTGCACTTGGCACTCGATTCCTTCCATATTGAACTTCTCAGATGGGCTTTATCACCTTTCAAACCTCCAGGTCTAGCTTCAAGATACATAAAGTGACCTGCAAAGAAGATATTTTTAACAGAAGAATGTTAGGATTTTCTGCTCGGTAAAAGTGAAGTATTACAACTCCACTGTATTCCAGTAACATCATTGTGATATCTGACAGCAAAAAATTCAATGCAGTGTTATAACTCATTTTTCTGCCCCTTCTCCATTTTGTCATCTTTTGACACAGTTTATAATTACTGGACCCAAAGACGCTTGGGAGAACAAAAGTGAAATACTGCTGGAAATCTGAAATAAAAACAGAACGTGCTGGAAAATCTAAGCATTTCTGGCAGGATCCATGGAGACAGAAACGGAGCCAGCATTTCGAGACCATTTTGACTGTTCTTCAGAATATGATTCCTGAAGGCAGTGAGAAAACTTAAGTCAGACTTCCATCAGGTGGAAGTTTACCTACCACATTTTTATACCTGATGAGTCAGAACGCCTGTCAGACACTCAAACCAAAGTTTGACCTTGCTGCAGTAATGAATAATCCAGCTTCCATTTTGCACCTAATTTTAGTAACTTGGCTAAGAGTAAGGAACTTTCTTTTATTCATTCACAGAATGTAGGCATTTCTGGTTTGGCCAGCATTTATTACTCTACAGTAAATTGTCTTTAAGAAGGTACTCGTGAGCTGACTTCTTGAACTACTGACATCCTTGGGGCATAGGCAGACCCACAGTGCTGTTATGGAAGGAACTTCAAGATTTTGACCCAGTGACACAGAAAGAATGTTGATACATATTCGAGTGAGAATGATGGGTAGTTTGAAGGAGATTTCACTAGGTGGATTTCCCTTGCGTCAGCTGCCCTTATCTTTCTAGGTGGTTGAAGTGGTGGTATTGTAAAGTGTTGTCAAAGGAATGAGGTATGTTATAGGTGGTACATGCTGTAGCCTTTCTATTTCAGTGGTGATGGAATTGAAGAGAACTATGAAGGAACTACCAAATAAAACACTGCATCATAGGAATGCAACATTAATTTCCCATATCTGAGAGTCTGTGTTATCCAAAAAAAACTACAGATAAATAGTATGGATGAGAAAACTTGACCATTTAACTCACTCAAACAGTTTCTAGCAAGAACCAAGAAAAAGTCAGTGTAAATCAATATCCTGACAGAATACATTGAGCAATTGTGTCAAACCTCATCCTCGGCATAAACCTTCTCGTAAACATCACAGGGTTATTCACGATGTCATAACCATTTAAATTTGTGTGGACTTTGAAGCAATTGACTATTTTTGTAACACTTCAAAATAATTCTGGAATAATTCCTTTCACTTTAATAGTTAATTGGAATCCTAGATGTTTTTCTGTCTTTCAATACTTGCTCCCTCTGCAGTGCAAGCAGCTTCAATATTTTTGATGTGTCGTTTAGAAATTTATAACATACCTTTGTGTATGAATGATTCAAGTAAGAAACAAAAATATTTTAGTAGATACTGTCAGGCATTGAGTCACTTGTCAATTAGGAAGAAAGAGAAATGAACTGTGCAGTGAAAAATATAAATACATTCACATTATTCGAATATTACATTCATAACACTCAATAATTTGTACACAGAAACTAACTTGCTTGAGTTTTTTGAAGAAGTGACAAAGAGGATTGATGAAGGCAGAATGGTAGACGTTGTCTATATGGATTTCAGCAACGCATTTGACAAGGTTCCACATGGTAGATTGGTTAGCAAGGTTAGATCGCATGGAATCCATTGTGAGCTAGCCAATTGAATACAAAATTGGCTTGAAGGTAGGAGACAGAGTTTGGTGGTGGAGAGTTGCTTTTTGGACTGGAGGCCTGTGTCCAGCACTGTGCTGCAAGGATTGGTGCTCGGTCCATTGCTTTTTGTTATTTATACAAATGATTTCGATATGAATATAGTTAGTAAGTTTGCAGATGACACCAAAATTGGTGGTATAGTGGACAGTGAACAAACTCGTCTTAGAATACAACAAGACTTTGACTTGATAGGTTGATGGGCCGAGGGTTGGCAGATAGAGTTTAATTTCAATAAATGCGAGGTGTTGCATTTTAGTAAGGCAAATCAGGGTAGGACTTATACAGTTAATGGTAGGGCCTTGGGAAATGTTGCTGGACAAGCATATCGAGGGGTGCAGGTGCAAATTTCCTTTAAAGTGGAGTCACACGTAGATAGGGTGGGGAAAAGGCATTTGGCATGCTTGCCTTTATTAGTCAGAACATTGAGAATAGGAGATGGGATGTCATGTTGTGGCTGTACAAGACATTGGTCAGGCCACTTTTGGAATACTGCATTCAGCTCTAGTCTTTCTGCTACAGGAAAGATGTTGTGAAACTTGAAAGGGTTCAGAAAAGATTTACAAGGATGTTGCCACGATTGGAGGATTTGAGCTATTGGGAGAGGCTGGGCCATTGGAGGCTGAGGACTGACCTATAGAACCTATAAAAACATGAGGGGCAAGGATAGTGTGAATAGTCAAGGTCTTTTTCCCCAGGTAGGGGAGACCAAAGCTAAAGTGCATAGATTTAAGGTAAGAGGGGATAGATTTAAAAGGGACCTAAGGGGCAACTTTTTCACAAAGAAGGTGGTGCGTGTATAGAGTGAACTGCCAGAGGAAGTGGTGGAGGCTGGTATAATTACAACATTTAAAAGGCACCTGAATGGGTACATGAATTAGAAGTGTTTAAAGGGATATGGGACTAGATTAGCTTAGGATAGCTGGTTGGCATGGACTGAAAGGTCTGTTTCTGTGCTGTGTAACTCTATAAATCTATGACTCTATGAGAAACTGCCTGCTTTGGCAATTGTCAATCAGGGGCTAGTAGTTTTTATTCACTCATGGAATGCGGGCATGGTGGCCTTGAGAAAGCAGTGGTGAGCTGCCTTCTTAGAGTTATAGAGTCATACAGCACGGAAACAGACCCTTCCATCCAAACAGTCCATGCTGACCACAATCTCAAACTAAACAAGTCCCACCTGCCTGCTCCTGGCCCATACCCTTCCAAACATTTCCTATTCATGTACTTATTTAAAGTGTCTTTTAAAGGTTGTAACTGTGCCCGCATCCACGACTTCCTGAGGAAGTTCATTCCACATGCGAACCACCCTCTGTGTGAAAAATTTGCCACTCATCTCTATTTTAAAATCCTTCTCCTCCCACCTTAAAAAAGAATGTCCCCAGTCTTGAAATCCCCCAACCTAGGGAAATGACACCTTCCATTCAGCCTATCTATACCCCTCATGATTTTATAGACTCCTATAAGGTCACCTCTCAATCTCCTACATTCCAGTGAAAAATGTCCCTTTGAACTGCTACAGTCTGTCTGGTGTAAACAGATCCACAATATTATTCAGAAGAGAGTTTAAGGATTTCAGCCCAATGACACTGAATGAATAGAGATATATTTCAACATCAGGATAGTGAGTAATTTTAAGGGGAACTTGCAGATGCTGGTGCTCCCATCTATCTACTGCTCTTGTTCTTCTTGGCAGTAGTGGTCATGGATTTGGGAGGTGCTGTCTGAAGAGTCCGGCTGAATTTTTACAATGCATTTTGTAAATGGTGGACACTGCTGTTATTGAGCATGGTGGTGAAAAGAGTGAATGTTTGTGGACGTGGTATCAAAAGGATTGCTTTGTCCTGGATGGTGTCAAGCTTCTTGAGTGTTGTTGGAGCTGCACTCATCCAGGCAAGTGGGCATGATTTTATCACGCTTCTGACTTTTGGCTTGTAGATGGTGACTAGGCTTTGGGGAATCAGGAGGTGAGTTACTCAGTGCAGGATTCCCAGCCTCTGACCTGCTTTGGTAGCCACGGTATTATATGGCCAGCCCAGTTTCGTTTATGATCAATGGTAACCTCAGGATAGCAAGCAATTCAGTGAAAGTGATGCCATTGAATGTCAAGGGATAATGGTTAGATTCACTCATGCTGGATGTGGGCATCAGCTGGCACTTATGTGGCACGAACATCATTTGTCAGCTCAAAGCTGAATATTGTCCAGATCTTGCCGCATTTGGACACAGACTAGTTCGGTATCTGAGGATACTGAGGCTAATGGTGTTTATCATTATGCAATCATCAGCGAACATCCCCAATGCTGATCTCATTGGTGAAGCAACTGAAGATGGCTGGGCCTAGCACACTACTCTGAGGAACTCCTGCAGTGTCCTGGAGCTTAGGAGACTGATTTCCAATAAACAGACACCATTTTTGCTTATGCCAGGTATGACTCAAGCCAGCAGAGAGTTTTTCCCCTGATTCTCCTTGACTCCAGTTTTGCTGGAGCTCCTTGATACCACACACAGTTAAATGTAACATTTATATCAAGGGCAGTCACTTTCACCCCATCATTGGAATTATTTTGTCCATGTTTGAACTATATTGAGGTCAGGAACTGAATGGCCCTGGCTGATCCCAAATTGACTGTCACTGAGCACGTTATTGCTGAGCAAGTGCTGCTCGATAGGACAATTGATGGCACCTTTCATCATTTAACAGATGGTGGTAATTGGCTGGATTGGATTAATTCTGTTTTTTGTTTACAGGACATACCTGGGCAATTGTTCACATTGTCGGTTAGAGGCCAGTGTTGTAGCTATACTGGAACAGCTTGACTAGAAAATTGACCAATGTACCATGTTGCAGGACTACAATGAAGTGGGTGGGGCAAAACAGAATGTGTAGTCACAGGGTACAGAATAATGAGGTGAATAGGTACTGCCTTTGCATCAGGAAAAGGCTTTAGAAAAGACTATGATACTTTCCCATTGTCAAGACTGACAGCAAATCCTTGAAATTGAAAATGAATGTGAAGTAAGAGATGGAAGACCCAGTTACTGTTGACTATGCAAAAACTAATGACATAAATGGAGCAACAAGAATGATCTGCTGAAAGAGTTGGAGGAATTTGGGTCCAAATTAAAACTCAGAACCGCAAACTTGATAATGTTTGGATTGTTACCAAACTAGACATGAATGAGCATAGGCTGGAGCAATTATAAATATTGCAGAATGAGTGGAAA